TTGCTCAAAATCCTATTGTACACAATCAGATACACCTGATAACAGGGGGCAGAAGACTACACGAAAAATAATCTTGACTTATCGCATAGTAATAAATTATTAATATAAAAAATGTATATAACATATTTTGTTAAAAGGCCAAATAAAGACTTCAAACCAAAAAAAAAGTCATTTTCTGTTTTGTTTTATTCTTGGATCGGGCTTTAAAGGGTTAAATATCATCTGTGTAAGTGTGCAAACATAAAATAATATATGACATAAGCCACAGAAGTTGAGATACGCTTTACGTTATTGCTGTTAGCTTCTGGAACTAAACTCTTTATTCACAACATGTAGTGTGCCTACACACTCTCCATTTCCATCATTACTCAGTCAGAGGTCAGCGTGTCTTTGCAGAACTGGACGTTATTATCCAAACTGCTTGATTTATAGTCTTTGAATCCAAAATAGGATCTTTAGATTTGAAGAGATTTGTATTTGTGGATTTCCTACCTATCTAAAATAAAAATATTTAAATACATCACCTTAAAAATCTTTAAAGGAAATTATTTTAAATGAAGTTATATCATTACTAAATGGGAAACTATCAAGGAATTATTCATTTGAATGTTGCAGATACTGTTCCTCTTGATACAAATGCATAACAGATTCCCTTTGCTGTCTAGAATGAGTTATAAATCCGGTGTTTTTTTCCCTGCATTTCAATTTCTTCTCTGCTCTTCTCCTCTTTAACACTGATATTTACATTCAATGTTCCTCAATCATCTGTTACCATATGCATTTCCAGTGTTATATGACATATGAGAGGTTTAGGGATGTTTTAGTGGACTGAACTGAAAAACTAAACATACTTTATGTTAAGTATCTTTAGTATCTTTTGAGTTCAGTATTGCAAGATATTGTGAAAGAGAGTTTATATACACATCCCATAGATTTGTTTTTTTAAATCCTGGCATTAAATTGTTAAATGATCATTTGATGATATGGGGTCTTACCAAAAATAGATTTTTTTTTCACAATAAACATGCCATCGTTACAAAAACCAATATTAAGATAATTGTAAACATTTACATAGACCTGAAGACTATTCATTGTGTAGTTGCTCGTACAAAAAAAATGTATAGGAGATTGTTCCTGTCTGCTACAAACAACAAATACAATAGCTGCTTATTATGGCAAATGTCTAATCATTACATACTATGTTACACTACTTCAACAATGTGTTGTAATGTCACAAGTTAATAATGGATTTCTCATTAATTCCTTTCACGTTATCCATTAATAAAGAATGAATCAGTCGGTTGCTATGGAAAGTAAAAAGGTTTACACCAGAGCAGCATTAGCTCTGACAGAATTGGTTTTGATTGCTGATGAGCAATTAGTTTATAGACAATTCAAGCGTCCATGAAGCAGTGAAACAGACGCAGAGCTTGAAAATGACAAAGTGATTGAGATCTGAGTTCTGAATGGCGGATCGGAACGACAAAGACAAGTCAGGACTGGCAAGAAATCACGTTCTTATCTCAGGGGACGAAAACCTGACAGTGTAAATCTGTAAATATCCAGAGGCCTGTTCCATAAAACAAGCTAAAGAAAAAAAAAACTAGACTCTGACGTGAAAATGAGCAACTAAAGCATCCATATGTGTCTATTCAAATCAGTTATAATCAGTCATTAGCAGTCTAAAATTGCCAAAACTGCATGTAGGTGCTATTTGGGAGCCCAAAAGAATAAAAAACTAATCATTCAAAGCAAAAAGCCAATGGGAAAAGATTGGGTTTTCGTGCATACTTACAGTATTATTAGTAACATTTTCTCATAGCACAAAGAACCAAAACACTTATGTTCACCTGGGAAAATAAGAAACAACTGGAAAAGAACAATATATATATACACACAGTCATTAATTTTTTGGGCATGACACAATGGAATAGTTAGTAACCTGCAGGTGATATAAACACAGTAAGTATTATGTGCCTGATGTTCTAACTGTCCCATTTAATGAGGTTTATTGATCGAAGCTTTAAAAAAAAAAAAAAGAATTCTTGTAGTGAAGGAGGCCGTGGAAGTGAGTGAGAGTGTGTCAGAGATTAAGAGAACAGAGAAGGAACAAGGAACAACATCTGAATCCACGGCCCCTGGGAAGCAGTGATGGATTAAAAAGGGAGGAAAAGTATATACTTGTACAATAGTGACGGAAGACCTTTTGCATACAGTGTTTGTTTATGTGACAGTGCCAATTCTATTCTGTATCTAGAGGGAATTCATGTTTCCAGGTGTACCGTTTCAGTTGTAATGTAACTGTGGGAAAAGTTGGGTAATCCCAAGAAATTTCTTATTTTAGATAATATTGGGTATTTGAATATATGAAATTACTCTTTTGTAAAAAAAAATAAAAAAAACATAATTTACTGCAGGATTGAGCCATCAAATAATCTGAAGAGTACAAATGTTTTTTTTTTAAAGATATCCTATGGTATATGCAATTTATTTGTATCCTTGATATAAAGTTTAATTTTAAGTGTTTGCATTTGCTATTGTAAAGCATTTTGGTATGCTCAGCCTGTTTTAATTTTTGCTATATAAATACATTTGTATTTACAAAAAAATAATAATATAAAGAATAACATCAAATAATCAGAAATACTTTAATAATCCCAGAGGGAACTTATTTTTGCTACTGGCTCCATAAATAAAACGCAACGGCATATACACATATATATATATATATATATATATACAAAATAATAATAATAATAATGTTAATTTTTGTATATAATATTTGTTTGTATATAATAATATACAAAAATAATATTAATAAAATAATAATAAGGTCAGTTTAAAGGCAGGCAATGATACCTCAGTTTAAAGGAGAGTACCTTGCTGTGATTCACTTGAACTAACATTGAATTAGATCAGTTAGAGCATCCATACATATCAGCAGCTGCTCCTGAGAGGTCATTTCCTCTACACCGAGTGTGAAAATATGTTCTGCAGAAACTCACAGGTGTGTCTAACACCTGCGTGCTTCTCCCGTTACGGTTTACACTGCTCCCTGCCTCTCCCCGGGCCTCATTTTTTCTGTCTTCCACCCAGATCAATCCGTTCTCGTCTCAGATTAATTGATCCGGCGGCCTCCCCTCGCTCAGCCGGCTGACTAATTGCATTCTCTCTGCCCGCGTTTTAGGTCTGAGACGAGATAGTGAGTCTGGAGGACGGGCTAAACGCAAAAAGTGCAGCAAGAGAATGGAGAAAGTTATTGGAGTACATGGAGTTCAGAACATTATTATGAGATGGAATCTCTCGGAAATTAACGAGGTAGCAGAGGAACTTATCCCTTTAAAGCCTGATCAGAGAAAAATAGGAAGAATTTTGGATTTTTTTAGTGTGAAGTCTTTCTTTGGCCCCTCAACAACGTATGAAGAAAAAGAAACAGAAATTATTTTGATCAAATTAGCGTGCAATAAGTCAAAAATGTATTTTGGTGTAGTCTTCTACTGGCTGTTATCAGGTATATCTGAATGTGTACAACAGGGGTTTGAGCAAAGCTTTTACCACTGAATAATGCAAAAAGTCTCAAATCCAAAAGACTTCAGAAACCGTATTTATCAAATATGATACATTTGGCATTATAGGGTTAAGAATAATACAGGATAGATTGATGGCCCTGTAATTGCCACGACTAATTTGCTCTTATTCCGAAATGACTCAGTGACGAATTATAACTCAGTAAACTGTGACGCTAGATCTTTACGTCCTAAGAATTTCTCTGTTGAAGCAGACTTTAAACTGGGCTTCACAAAGGATTTCATACAAATTTAAGAACACAGACAGGCAGTTGTCATACTACCTAAACTTCCCTTTCACCTGAGCCCCTGCCATGTCAATTTTTCCAAATTTATCCAAGTAAAGAACTGTTTTTAAAAAGGCTAACTACCATCCAGAAGAATCCACACCTTTGAATACTATTGACGCCTAAACGTCATAACCTTTTAACATTTCTGTATTGAGTAAATGTTGTTTTTTTTAAAGGTCAGCCCACTCAATGTTGGCAATCTTTTCATTTCCACTAGAAGCTCCTTCAAGAAAAGATTGTATTGACATGGGCTGCAAATCCTCCAACTTCTCCTTTAAAATGCAGAAATCAATATAATTTAACTTAAGTTTAGCTCTCGGGAGGTCTTTTATCTTTGTCTGATGTAGGTCTGAGAGGAAAATGTCCATTCTATTAAGAAGAGCTTTGTTTCATTAAGTTCAAAGCCCCCGAAAGAGACCAAAGGCATATTTTTCCTCCTCATTTTTACAGTATTATATAAATCTGACGCTACTAAGTTTTACATTTCAAAAGCAGGCTTACATGCTATTCAAGATACATTTAGTAAAACAACAAAAGCAAGCTTTATTGGTTAAAATATAACCTGATGCCTCATTTGCACCTCATAGAATGGGAAATAAAGGGTCCCGAATGCATTCCTTTAAAGAAAGCTGATCCAGAAGAGTTTTAGTCTCAAATAAAGCAAAACAAGGAATCGGGCAGTTAATAACTAAATCCAAAATGCAACAAAACAGAGAACATTTAGAGCACGTGTTCTGAAAGTCTCAGATTCTGTGACAGATTTTCTGTTTTTATCTGCAATAATTACAAAATACAGGTAGGCTGTAAAAATATATCTGTAACTTGAAAACCTCAAGAGAGAGCTTATTGTCAAACTGTAATATTGTGTCTATTTTGGAAGTCGCCTTGGATAAAAACGTCTGCTAAATGCAGAAACGGAAAAAGAAACAAACCCACTATCTCTCAGAAGCACCTAGATAATGTATTTCTATTTTCCTGAGAACTGAAACTGGGCTGGACGTCCACCTTCCAGCAGTATAGTGATCCTAAACATTCTCCTTAACTAACAATTGATTGTTTTAACATTACTTTATTTTTTTTTATTTTTTTTTTCTTTATTTTCCTTTTTTTTATCTTCTTTTTTTTTCTTTTTTTTTTCTTTAAGATGACTTTAAATGGCCTTGTCTCAAAGCCCAGGTCTCACTAGAACTGAATGCCAGTGGAGATCATCTTATCTGAATGTTGATTTGAAGAATAACAAGAAAAAAAGAAGTCATCAGGTATTTTAAGCTCTTAAAGACACAGACCTGTAACTGTACATTTGTGGCTCTGAAACCAGAGCACCCAAAGTTGGTCCTCAAGGGCTTCTGTCCTGCAGGTTTTTAGGCGTTTCCCTGCTTCGACTAACAAAACTGACATTTATTTGCCATTAGCAGGCTTGTGCAGAGCTTTTGAACTGATCCATTTAATCAGAAACAGATGTGCCGAAGCAGGGACACTTCTAAAACCTGTAAGGCAGCCGCCCTGGAGGACCGGAGTTGGGCACCCATGCACTAAAAATCACAGCTAGATATCAGCAGGGTGAAATTTTAGACATGGACAACTTAAACTTATTCTCAAACTTGTAATTTTCATTTTAAAAAGGCTTATTTTAACACAGATTCTACCCCGGGGTGATCACCACATGGATTTTCTGGACTTCCAAAGGAGTCCAACATTGACCTAGCATCAACTAACTAAGAATTAAGCTCATAAAAAGAACTGTGGGTCAGAGGGGAAACTTCAAATCCAGTGGCCTTTACTCAAGGAATTACCATGACCAGAACTTGGATGACTGAGAATGTACACCAACATAATACAAAATATTTGAGAAAGATGTGGATATGAATATTTTTGCAAGAAACTTTGTAAGAGCCAAAACATAAGTATGAATTAATCATATTTTTTTAGAGGAAGTTGAGAAAAAAATACGCTATTACGTTGGGACAGTTTCCACCAGATTTTTCATGAAATATAAAAGTAATTCGAGGATGACTACAGTGAAAAATGCTAAATAAATTTATGATATTTATTAACCAATGGCCAGAAAATTAAATAAAAAGCTTGCTTGTTTTACATTGAAATCACGTGAAGGTTCAGGTCAAATGCTCTCTCTTGCCTGTGTATAAACAGCCAAAAAGGACTGTGGTCACAAGGACCGCGACCGTGGTCAGCAGACACCAGTGGTCACCATTGGGTCAGCAGACACCAATGGTCACTGCTGGGTCAGCTTCTCATATCTGCAAACCAACTTGTACTTATGATGGCAATTTCTTGCTATCAAACAAAGAACAATTAAACCTTTACATACACACACACATATATATCAGAGAATGAATGATAACTTTTGTACAATTATTCTAACAGTATTGTTGCAACTCTCTTCAGATTCTGAATTTTGGTGAACAACACACAGTTTCTCTCATACAAAAGTATTTTATGGATACTTTTCTGAGCAAGATCTGCATTGTATAAATTGTACAATTACCTCAGATCACTATATAACACAATACATGCAAAAAGGAAATAATAAATAATATAATATTTTACAATGATGTGATAGAATATTTGGAATAGTAATGCTACTGTAAAAAAGTGAACTTAGCAGCATCCATAAATAAAAAAATGTAACAAAATGTGATTTTCCTGGACTGCAGGTTGTTTGTATGCCATGTATTTACAACGTTGTGGTTACATGAACAGGATGACGTGTGTATTTCATCAGTAGGATGCGGGTTGTTGTTGTTATGGAGAAAAATACCGGCGTCGTCCAGGTTGTCCAGTCCGCCTCTTAAGGGAATTTATTAATAAGAACAACAGAAATGCATGTCAGACAGCGGCATACACGGAATTCCCAAAGATAATAAACTGTGGTAGTCGCTTATTTCCGATAGCATTTTGCACATACACGGCCAAAAATCCAATCTCTGTCTGACGGCAATATGAGTTTTTTCACAAACCCCTTCCATGTTGTTGACCTAACCAGAAGCCACCCTGACCTCGGTGAAATAAACCAACTCCCACACTGATATTTTTCTGACATTAAGCTCAGTCTTATGGATCTGGAAATATTAATAAAGGTCTTTTTTTAAGAATGTCAGATGCAAAATATTTGGAGTATTATACATCTGCACTGAGATTTTGCCCTCTCGAAACCCTAAAATCTTCTTTTTTTTTTGGGTCTCAATAGAAAAAATTGACTATAACAGGTATGCTAGTACATAAATTCATAACAGATGTGTTTCACAGCCTGAGTGGTGCTATGTTCAAACACCAGGTCTCATACCTACAGATTATGAACACTATAATCTTGTTGCCTGTGTTGACGTACTTATCACACAAAGGTAGAGAAAGGACTCACAATGAGGATGACAGGAGAACAATACAATAAGTGAGCACAATGAATCTAAAAAAAATCTATCTGTATATATATCCCATAATTAGTATCTTCTTCCATTCAGGCTCCTGTGATCTATAATCTGATGGACTTTTGTGTAACATGCACAGATACACAACATCTCAACAGTGTGACAATAAAGCACAAACCTGTGTGGGGTATGCACTTATGAAAGCATAGCGATACAAAAATGTTGTGTTGCTCCAATTTATGGTCCATAGCCGTTGTATATTTTGTAATATCGCGTTGGTTCTGATCTTAAATTTAGCTCAGGCTGTTTTTTGGACTACAAACGTCAAAACTTCTTGTGGAGACATTCCAGCCTATGTTAGATATCTGGAAAAAGATTAGATTGGTTTGATAAATAAACACACAACTAAGCTTTCAGTATATCAGAATCAGAATCACAATTAGGTTTTTTGCCAAGTAGATTTTTCACCTACAAGGAATTTGCTTTGGTGTTTGGTGCACAACACTTCTATGAGAAACAAGAAAGGACATAGGCTACAATTCGAAATAAAAATATAAAAATATAGAATAAAATAAAATTATTAATAATAATAATAATAATAATAATAATAATAATAATAATAATAATCAAATAAAATATTGAATGTCCAACAACATAAATTCGTTCAGGAGCACATGCACGCATTTCCAACAAATTCCTATGTTTCTCAGAACATGGAATGTTTCAGAAAGGCTTTAAAGGAACTTTAAAAATGGTCGACGATGCTGTATTTCCTGCCGTTCGTCTCCTCTTCCCTCTTTGTCGTGATCCAGTGTGGAGCAAACTACTGTCGCTTATCAACTTCCTTCTTCCAATAAGATTAGAAGATCTTCAAAACAATGAGTTCACTGTTAAACCATTGTTAGTAACTGTTAGAAGCCTGTGAGAAATAATAGTGAAAGCAGAAGGGGAAATGAATGTGACTTTTAAACCATTTGTTACTCTTTGTTCCTCTTTATATAGCCAGTTTAAAATGTTCGACACCTGCTAATTGTTCCGTCATTCATACCTCTAGAATCTTTTTCTACTTTCTGTAGTCTAAGTTAACTTCTGATATTTCATACAAAGCCGGTTAATTTGAAAAATATAAGAAGTTTAAAATTCTGATTAGACTTTCAAAGTAATTGTCACCTACTGAGCAGAGCACTGACCTGAAACTCACTGACTGGAGATCAGCTTTCAGTGAACTATTTGCCTTGAACACTGGCAAGTTTGAGCAAACATTATGAAATAATGGGGTTTTCTTTTCCTCAGGGTTATCATAAGTAATGAAAGTTCAGCTTTATGCTGACATCTGTTTGATTTTATTAAATCAGAAAAAGGGTTTTGACTTGAATTATGATCCGAATGAATAAATATATACACACATTTACCATAAATCTTTGACTGTTTGATGATCAGATTGTTTTGCAAGTAACATTTTTTAGATTCATTTTTATAACCATTTCTAGGACAATTAATTTTTATATTTAGAATAACTTTGCACAGCAGCTGGAAATGGTGATACCATTAAATTGTTGTTTGTTAGAAAAACAAGTACTAATAACGTGGTATAGCCATGCATGTTGTGATTTAAATTAGATTATAAGGATATTTAAGCTTGGGACAAAAAGTTTCTTTTCATTGATTGTTGAAATATTTCTGTTTGGATCAGAGGTAATAAAAGAACTGAGCCTCGACCCAGACTCAACTCATCACGAATGGCCCTTTAGCTAAACTGGAATAGGATCAAATGCAGTGAAAAAACATTTTAAAGAGACGACGAGCTGAAGGACGAAGTGTTCTGTGTAAAAAAAACAGTCTGTGTCCGGCCCTCACCTACTTTCATTATCTTTTGGTTGCGGCCCATAAAATGATTATTTAATCAAATCCCTTCAGTCTGCAGAGAATCCGGATTGGCCTTTGGACACAAGGTAAACATAAAACAGGTTTCAATCGAATGTATTTGGCTTTATTTTTGCATTTAACATTTAGTTTTACCTCACTGTGGTTTCTCTGGAATGACAGAGACTGAAATTCTTCAATCAGAGCTGTTTTAGAAAAAAATTAGAATAAATCAGAGCTTTATATGAACTATTCAATAGCTTTGCAGAAGTTTTTTTTAACTCTTCAGACCCCATATTGGTACATTATTATTGGAATATTAAAGCAGCCTAATACATTTATCATATTGATTGTCATTGTTACGTAAAGCATGTTTTTCTGTAATATTATTAAGCACATTTTAATTTATTTTTCCCCAACCTGTGTAGCCACATTGTTAATTGCACTGTTGAGTAATAAAGAAGATGAATGAAAAACTGACAGATTCATTCATTTGACTTTAACTGGACACTTTAAGCCTTTTTAAGTAAAAACTTTCACCTTCAGCAGCATAAAAAAACTGAATTTAAGACACAGGGAAACATTATAACACTATGTAACAAAAAAAGAGAGAAATAGATCAACAATAATCCAGTTAGGCACAGTATATCATTTTTTAGCTGTTTACATCCATAGATTTGCATAAATACTTCACAACAGGATTTATAATGTTTTTTACATTTTACATGGAGTTATTTTCCCTGAAAAGTTCAGCAGTGTCTAAATAACCCACACAGAGCATCCTTAAATCTGCTTTTCTGCGTTATCAGTTCTGCAGCATTATAAGATTTAGGTTTTTAAATCCTCCACCAGATTCTTTTTATTTTGTTTTTTTTTGCTCTAAGTCTACATGACCTGAACTTGTCCTGAAAAAAAGATTGTGTACCCACACTGATAACAGTCGAAGTTCAAAACCAGGAACAAAGATTATTAAAAGAGAAGTTGAAAACGAAAGTTCAACCGTTGTCTTCCTCTACGAAACTGGGCAAAAATCCAGTATTAGGAAATAAGCTAAGCAGCGTGACCGTTCCTCCGCGTTGACTATAAATGTGAGATTAAGCAGCAGAAGGGAGAAGATCGTCCAGAGAAAGCAGAATGAAGAGCCTGGTGTTTTTCCTGTTGCTGGCTGCGGCCCATGCGAGGGTCTATGACCGCTGCGAATGGGCCAAAGTGCTGAAGAAAAATGGGATGGATGGTTACCGTGGCATCAGCCTGGCCAATTGTGAGTACCAACACATTCCAAAGTGGAGCAGAATTTTCAGCCATTTTGTTCCTATACAAATCTCAGTGTTGCATATTCAGGATAAAAACACATATCTGTCTTCAGGGGTTTGCCTGACCCAACACGAGTCCAATTTTAACACCAACGCCATCAACCGCAACACGGACGGATCCACAGACTACGGAATCTTCCAGATCAACAGCCGCTGGTGGTGCAACAACGGTCAGGGCCAAACATCCAACGCGTGCAACATCCGGTGCAGCGGTAAGTGAACCCCCAAAAGTGCGTTTGTGACCCCCGTCATAGTCATTCCCTCTTTTTTGTTACATTTCTTGCTGTCTTTATGCAATTCTTTTGCCTCTATCATCTAATTACTCAAGCTAAAATGAGACTTTTCAAGTCTTTTTAACCCTTTAAAGCCTGATCCAAGAATAAAACAAAACAGGAACTTACTTTTTGGGGGTTTTAAGTCTATAGGCTATTTGGGCTTTTAACAAAATATGTAAAAAAAATAAAACAAAAATAAATTTTTAATATTAATAATTTATTACCATGCGGTAAGTCAAGATATATTTTTGTGTAGTCTTCTGCCCCCTGTTATCAGGTGTATCTGATTGTGTACAATAGGATTTTGAGCAAAGTTTTTACCATTAAATTATGCAAAAGGTGGTTAATTTGTATGAAGTCTTTATTTGGCCTTTTAACAAAATATGTAAAAAGAATAAAACAAAAATACATTTTTAATATTAATAATTTATTACTATGCGATAAGTAAAGATTATTTTTTGTGTAGTCTTCTGCCCCCTGTTATCAGGTGTATCTGATTGTGTACAATAGGATTTTAAGCAAAGTTTTTACCATTAAATTATGCAAAAGGTGTCAGACGCAAAACATTTCAGAAACCGTGTGTATCAAATATGATACATATGGCATTACAGGGTTAAGAAAATAACTTGGATCCTAGTATGTCATCTCTTCAAAAAGGGGTTGGAGAGAAACACAAGTTGGTTTCATTTTTTACTACAGTGCATTCATGTTTAATTTTGGGGCCAAAAAGAGGAATATACACCCCGGCATGCGTTTTGTGGCTGTGTTTTTCTTTCATATTGTACATGAAATACACAAGTAAATATAGGAAATGTCTACTTGTCTCTTCCTTTGTTCCAGATCTTCTGTCTGATAATGTTGGTGTAGCAATCAACTGTGCCAAACGGGTTGTGAGGGATCCAAACGGCATCGGAGCCTGGTAAGACAAAAATATATGATACAAGGAGGAAGAAAAACTGCTTTTACCTATAGAACGGTGGAGATGACCGGTGTGATTCTGTCCGGTTTCAGGGTGGCCTGGCGTAACCACTGCAGGGGTCAGGACCTGAGCTCCTATTTGGCTGGATGTCGCCTCTAACCAAGAACCATTCAAAGTGCACGTTACCTGAGTCCGATTATGGTTTTTGTGCTCCGTCGAGGTAGTTTTTGCTCATTTTCGACATTTAGGAGAATCGGTCCTGAGAGAAATAGGCTGAAACAAACTTTTATGGCAAATAAAGTGATTTAAGAGAGCTTATTTGTGAATTGTTTGTTTTTTTAGTCCACACTAAATATGCTAAATTCAGACGGAGGAGATGAACAACAATATAATTCAAACACAGCCTCACTTTTAAACCGAACCAGACAAAGTTAGGTCCAATACTTAAATTTTCCTTGTAGTTTCTTTGGAATGAATGCGAGCTGCTAGTTTGCTTTCCCATTAAATACTGTTTGGTCGTTTGGTTTGATGAAACTAATCAGATGTGACATGACAAAATAACTGGAACAAAATATAATTACGCAAAACACACATACCCTGCTTTGTGTATACACTAATTTAATGGATTTTTTGAACCCCTAACCCCCTTAAAGCTGCTCTAATGAATTTTGTTACATCAAGAATTAAACAAAAGACAGTGTTAGGGTTAAGGGTCAGTCATACAAGCAATATGTAAACAACTATTGTGTGCAGCTTTCTTCTTTCATCTCTTCAGAGATGGTAAGTACTCATCAATCACGATGCATCAGTTTTGGACAATAGGTAGGTGTTTTATGACAAAGGTGCCATTCATAATCCACCCATATATCCATATTTTTATATAATACACCAGGTGTCTTTATACATTTTTCATTTCCGCCTTTAAGTTTAACTGGTAGAGACAATGTGTAGCTTTAAAAATACCTTTACTTGACTTGAAAAAATAAACAAGGCTGTCATGAAAATTGTAACTTTTACAAGCTCAAAAGTTGAAAAAAGGATGTATCATTTTTTGTATTTATCAAAAAAACAAGAATGGTTTCTTCTTATTTAACAAACAAATGCATAGACAAAGTCACACAGACAATGACAACTCATTTCACCAGGAGAAATGATAATGTAAACATCAATTGGTTTCCAGAAACCACACACACACCATTATTATTATAAGCTGGGTCTTTGTATATAAAAAAAAAAAAAAAAAGTTCTTACATGCTTTTCCCCAAAAAAATTTAAAATAGAGCCACATGTCCACTTACTTTTACTCATATAATGCAAAGTTTATCACATCATATATGGCTTTTCAACTAATTGCCTACTTTTTAAGCTTTGCCTTACCCCGAAGAGCCAGATATATTCCCAGGAGTATTTCTGTGAGAAGATCACACCACATTTTGTCTTCCAGAACGCCCCCTTATTCTGTCTCAGAAGTCCTTTAGGGCCGGGGATGAACTCAGAAGGTGTTCCAGGGACTCGGGACGTGAAAAACAGATTGCACAGAAGCATTAAGTCTACAGACTATGTGATGTTACATCTGAGAGGTTCCAGAAGTCTGGAAAGGAAAAATTAAAAATATTACCTGATCCAAAAGTTTCAAATTACTATTTTTTTTAACCTTGTCTTGTCCAGGTGGAAATTCCTCTTTGACTGCCATAGTTATGCCAAACAAATGTGCTTTTTCAAAGAAGTCTTCATGAATCCGGCCTTGATGAATTATTTATTGCTGGTGTGTTGGGCAGGGGGGGGAGACAATCACAAACACCTGCAAAGAGACAAAACTAACAAAACACAGAACACAAACTGCAACATGGAACAAATTTGATGATACAAATGGACCAAACTACTGTGAGTAACACAAAAGTTATACATAAAATGTGTTTAGACTGAGTTCCAAGCCCTCATGAAGGTTTTTCCATTAACCAATCATGATCTAATCATCATTGTAATCAGATCCTCCACTCTCCCGATAAGAAATGTGGTCTGTATACTGTCAGTCATGAAAGTTTCAGTGATTAATGGCCTTAAATCTTTTTTAAAAATGTGCTGTGAGCTTACATTCTGTACAAAGTTAAGAAAAAATGGAATACCCCAAATCCAAACCTTTGTAATTCCTCAGCCATTTTATTGTTTTACCAGGGCACTGCTGGTTATTTTGACAATAATAAAGCAAACGAGAGCCCACACATTTGTGCCTTAACATGTTTTTAGGTGCCTATCTCCAGGCCTGTGGTCTGGCAAAATGAAAAAAACTTTTAAAAAGATGCTAGCTTTAAAATGATTGTCCAAAACTTAAGTGTGGCTCCACAGTGGCTAGATCAATAGCAGCCGCACATTTTTCTCGCTATAAAAATCCATTTTTGCTATAAAGGTCTGTTCGGCGTCCCGCTGTATGAAATTGACATTGTAGCCATTTTGTTAGTATCTCCCTTCTACACAAAGGAATTCTGACTTTCATTCACAGAGACCAACCATTTGTTGGATGGGTGTCAGGCCAAGGGTTTTTGTACCAAATTACCCATTTGGCCGTCATCTTTAAAAATGCCTGACAGGGATGCACTGTTTAGGATTTTAAGTATATCAGAAAAATGCATGTATCCATTCTCAAATCTGACAAATACCATTTATTTTGACACTATACAGACATAAACAGAGCTCTCGGCTCTAAGGTAGCTTTGGCTATAAATCTGCCTTTCTTTTTTGGTAGTCTCTTGTGTTCTTGTTTTTTATAGTTTAATTAATCTATTCATTTTCACCACTCCATCACAGGCCATCCCAGAAAAAAAACAGAAATGTGCTCAGATTAACTCCTGGCCTAACTTTAGAATCATCATTATACCCAACATGCATGTTTTTGGACAGTGGGAATACCTTGAGCCATAGTTATTCATAAACATTCTGTTAGTTCTTCATGTGCTTCAGTGCTTAAATTCTCAAAAATCTGTCAAAATCACTGCCTCTCCTCTAATAAAACAGCAGTAAAGAGCTGTTTTTATTTCTGATTTAAATTCTTCTGCAGCTAAACGACAGAAAATGTCTTTTTCCATAAACTGAAGACACACGGAGCAGCATTCTAACAGGGCGCTTTTTTAAAGAATCGAATGTTCGAGGCGATCACGGAAGGAAAAGCTGTACAATGACCAAATGGAGAATCCTCTCTCTGCAGTAGCGCGGGGTATTGTGATGCAAAGCACGGACGGAGCTGCTAGAACAGGACGGGAACAGGAATCCCTGGATGAGACAGAGAGAGCGAAAAAGACAGAGAGGTGAATCTGGCACCGAAGCGGGATTTAAATGTGTGGATCCAGTGATCAAAAACTGCTGCCATAGAGACATTAGAAGATGCAAATGAGGGCAGAGAATATACATATATACATTTGTATGCATATATATACACATACATACATATATATACAGTGGGGGAAATAGGTATTTGACCCCTTGCTGATTTTCCAGGTTTGCCCACTTACAAAGAATGCTTATTTTTCCTCATCAGATGGTTATCAATTTTTATAAATTCATATGATGTGATTTTCTGGAATTTTCTTTGGGATTCTGTCTTTCACTGTTAGAATATACATATGATTAAAGTTATAGATCGTTGCATTCTTTGTGGGCAAACCTGCAAAATCAGCAAGGGGTCAAATACTTATTTCCCCCACTGTATATATATATATATATACACACATAGGAATAAATTAGCTCTTAAAAAATGTTGGTGAATTAGGCCAGTAGGTCTTCAAATCTTTTAACTTATCTGCAAGCCTAAGCTGTGTTAAAAGGCTTTCTCATGCCAACCCCTTACAAACAATTCATAATGGTTTAGACTATTTTTGTCATTGATACGTTTTGAACTTTAACATTTAACATGAGGCAAATTCCCTGCGTTTGAATAGCTGGAATAGGTTGAAGCCCACCTCCACGGCCCAGATAGGAATAAACAGAGTACAGGATGGATGGATGGATGGATGGATGCTAACTGAGGCCTGTATATTGATATTTCCATCTTCAGCCCACTATCCTGGCTCATTCAAAAGGGATTTACTGGGTTCCTGCCGAGCATCGGGACAAGCTGTTCAAGTGACTCATTTCAAGAGAAGAGAAATCTCATTCATTAGAGCTTTAATAATCCTGTATGTTCCATTCAGGCTAGGACTCTAGATGTGATATCAACAGAGTGAACTGAGGTGGGAAAATGTGTCTTGCAACTTAAAAAAAAAGATGTGATTTCCTAACATGACATGCAAATATAAAAATAAACCACAACTGGTTGTGAATATAATCTTTTATTTACTCCAGTCCAAAGAAATGTACATGAATGTTCTCTGACAGGTATAAAATGTATCTTAAATAAGTAATTGTTCTAGTTCATATTCGTGTAAATTCTAATTATTTCATTAAAAACCCCTGAAGACTTAAAGCTCATGACATCCGACTCCACAAATAACAGAAACCATCAAAGAGCACATCGAAAGTTAGTAGTTAGCAAAAGCCGTCCAGCAGTTTGCAATCTGACTTAGAATGTCAAGGTGCTTCTCTCTAGTATATATACTTTAACTTAAAAAATGAAAAAGACAGAAGGCTAATATTTGCTGAGAAAAGAGAAATTCTTGTTGTATAGAGTTTGCGCTGTGGATAAATTAAACGTTTTTGGTGGCTTTGAGCTGGGAAATAGCCCCACCTCATGTATGGCTTGCAAAGTTTCCTGGGTGGCAGCATCTGTTGCTGGTGGTTTTCTTATTGCTGTGATGGCCGCTCCCATTGCTTCTGGAAAATCCCTGATTTCTGGACCCATACCGTCCAATATTGAGAGGCCGACGCCCACCGAGGCAAACGGACGGGGGCGAGTGATGTTTGAGTCTGTGGGGCGGTCAGTTTTTTTTGGTTTGCTGTCTGGATTGGGGAGATGGGAGATGGCGATAACCCTGAGGCTGGTCGACAGAGGAAACCTGGGGAGGAAAAAAAAAGACAGGTACGGTTATTGGCAGTTCGCTCTGTGATTATTTTAACTGGAATCAACGTCTTGATTTTTTCCGTTTAGAATAAAACACGAATTAAACAAGCATCCTGGAGATGTATTTTCAAAACACCATCAACCACATCCGTCTGAATATGTAATGACCTATATGGGGTGCCTTTTCCATTATTTAAACTTGCAGGAAATACATCTGTTTTGTAATGCTTTTATCCCCTTAAAAAAAAAAACAGCTAAGCACAGACATCAGTGTTTTAACAGCAGAGACAACATGGAAAAAGGAAAAAAAAAAAAGAACATGAA